TTTACATTCTAATGGCTACTTTTAGCAATCGTATGCCATCAAATTTTTGTGTGTGTATTCAAGAACCTCTTTACACTCTCTTCTTGTTCAAAAGTTCATATGTCAAATGGAAAAGTAAGTTAATATTGAGAAATATGCTAATAGCCTCTATTCCATAGAGAAATTCAAATATAATGGAGAAGATACTATGGAATATCTCATGTCGCTACAATGTTAAAACATGAAAAATTATCTCATGGATTCATGATTTTGAACAAAGGCACAATAAAAAAAACAAAAATTATCTCTTTAAGGATTGAGTTAGCTTTTTCTGATTTTCTTCTGATTTAATCGCTTCTTCATCTTCCAATCCTCATCTTGCTGATGGTGTGACTGAGTAGAGTATTAGTTGTTGTAGTGACTCTTGCCGAAGTTGTGCTCGTCAATGGAGTTGTGGTCCCACTAACACTGAAAATGATACAGAACAATAAACAAACACATAAACCCATCTCAAATTTGTAGAATATGCTAAAACAAAGCCTAGAGATATTGTCTATTGGTCAAGGTAATCCATATGTAAGCCACTTCTTGTCAGAGAGTCCTTAATTACCATTGTCTTTCATCTCTTTCGACACTCTTGAGGTTGGGTCCCTTTGGAGCCCTACAACCACAACAAATAAAATTATCATATATAAGAAGATAAAACAACGAATGTTTAAATCTTAAATGCATTACATTTCTTGGAATCTTATCTACAAAAAGAGTTTTGTCCAGCCGTGATACACAGTTCACAAAAGCAAAACATGATTAATCACAAAAAGAGGTTTAAAGATGAGAGTGCAGTGAGCGTAGTAGACCTTGGATAAGAAGCCAGTTTCAAGTCTTTGCCTTTCGATATCGCTTGCAATAGACCAATCCATAAATAGGGAGAGAATTATGTTACCGCTTGCAAAAGACCAATCCACAAATAGATCTGTACCCAAGTCCACGAATGAACTAAATCATGAGAGGATCTTTTTATGGACCTCTCGCTGATTTCAGAAATTAGTAAAGAAGCTCAACATATCTAGATTCATTAAGACCACATACCTTATCAAAAACAGTCATTGCTTTTCTTAGGACTCATCGATGGTCGTCTCCAGTATTCTCTGTAAGATTCGGGCCTCTTATCTTCTCGCCACATGATCATCATAGCCATTTCCATATCTAGGTTATGAGAATCCATCTGTTAAAATGCAGAAGAATCAATCATCAGATCTACCAATGGCTAAATTTATCTGATTCCCAAAAATATAGCATGTTTCGAGTATCTAAATCAGAGATTAGTGTTTAATGTTACTACAATGTTCAAGTGATTGTAGATAGATATTCCTACCTTGTTAAGTAGGTATTTTTGGCTCACACGAAGCAATAAAGCTGTTATGAACTCGAGTGTATTATAGTTCACATTGGAAAGCTTCTGCAATAACTTTTTCATTCTGCTTATGCTCGACCGTGCATCTTTCAAATCTACGGTGACAATCAGATCACAGACTCAAATACCTTCTGCCACCTTTCGATATCCGTCAAAAGGGTCTTGCTCTTTTGTGCAGTCTTTTTTGCAGCCTAAAAAGAAAACAGAGATCGAAGAATTGAGCTGTCAGAAGTTAAAAAACGAAACTAACATACATTCTTCTCGAATGAAGCTATTGGTCTACTAAATACCTCTTCCACTTTGGTCTTTCCAACGGACACCTTTTCCTTAGTCTCAGTCATACCCTTTCTGACCAATGTCCCGGTTGTTACAGCAGCAGTTATGAGATATTCTTGCACGACATGTCTAGAAAGAACACAATCAAAATTGTATGAAATATATATAACAAAAAAAAGTCAAAAGAGCACAATCAAAATTGTATGAAATATATCTCGGGTTCACCATATCGAAACAATAAATCACAGGTTTAACGAAACTTATAAAACATGGAGCAGTAAGAAGAAGAGGATTACCTTATAGAAAGAGAGCCAACAACTGGAAACAAAATAAAAATAAGAATCGTTAAATAGCAATAAGAAGAAGATGAGTAGATCAAAAACCATATTTAAACAGAAGAGATAGAAAATCAAAAACAGAAAAAGAGAACAAACGTAATAACAGACCGATCAAGGAAATCTAGTGAAACGAAATACATATCTCATACCTCGATTAACAAAATATATAACCCAATCCACTGCGACGATTTGAAGCTGACTGAAAACCACTTTACTGAAAAAGATTGAAGAAAGAAAGCCTTGCGAGTCAAACAACATAAACGTTAAGAGATCGATATAAAGAATATATACACACGTAAAATATGAAAAGGAAGATGTAAGAAGAACACGATCAAGAAGTAGGCAGGCCGATTATGATAGGTTAAACATTTATACTCATCAACGCAAAAATAATGGAAACGAAGAAAACATCAGAAAGTATAAGGAAAAGAAAGAATACGTACCTAGATTGAGGAATATAAGAACCTGCAAAACAAAGACAATTTTCCTAATTAATAAAAAAAAAGTAAAGATTATTGAACAAAAAGAAACACACAGAATTCATGAATTCATGCCTCGTAAACCTGCAACAAAACCCGGAAACTGCTTTGGGAGTCTTATCAGCCAAGTGAGCAAACTCCGAAACATCTGTAGGATCAGTAGGAGCACCACGCTCTGAGAGAGTACGTTTGCGAGACTTCACAGGAACAACCTCACCATCACCATCAATGTCAATGAATCCAGTCACCTACGAAGTAAAATAAAGACCAAAATATATATCATTCTATAAGCAAAGTATTTTAATAT